CTATCGTCGAAGAATTCAGTAATATGGATGATAAATTATTAAAGTTAACAGACTATGTTTTAAGAAATTATATTGATTGCCCAAGATATCCTATTGAAAAATGGAATCATTTTAATTTAATACAAGACAGACCACGTACAAATAATCATGTTGAAGGATATCATCGTCAATTGAATGCGTAAGTGTTGTTTTCCTTAGCATATATGCAACAGTTCTCATGATCTGTTTCTATTTTCAGCCATATTGGAATTCATCCGAACATTTGGACCTGGATGATGAATGTCCAAAAAGCAGAAGAACTATCAGCTATACGTGTGGAACAAGAAGATGAGCAAGGCCGGACAACGAGAAAAAGAAAAAAACACAATGTTGATCACGATATTCATCTGGGTTCTGCCAGACAAGCATTATTGAGTGAAGAAATAGACTTAGAAGAATATCAACGACTTTGTCGATAATTATTTGGAAGTGTTTAAGAAAACTCGTGATACGGATATTAGCACGGATGAGGATGAAGACAGCGAAGATTAAAATTATACACAGTTGACAAATTAACTTCTTCATGAAAAATAATTCTTTTTTAAATATAAGTACTAATTACCACTTAAGATAATCTTGATTGCTTCTACCTGTTATTTAATTTAACTTTTATTTGGAATATAGAAATGAGAGAAAATGTATCTCTTTTGAGAAATGAGAGATTTCATATCTATAATTGTATCTCTTTTGAGAAACGCAATTTCTTGCCAAAATATTCGTTTCTCAAAAGAGATACTTTCTAATTGATTAAAACAGATACATTGTAAAATATGGATTTGTATCTCTTTTGAGAATATATAATGTATCTCTTTTGAGACGTAGCCCCTGTGTCATCTCAACAATCAAATCTGAAACACTAAATACACTTTGCATAATCTCAGTGTAGTCTTGGTTTTATAGTTCGCTGATGTTCTTTAGATACGTGATCATTACTTCGAAACTGGCTTTAAAACGACATTAAGTACAACAGAAAGATAAGGTGAATCGATAGTGCATAAACCATTCAAGCGTATATAATAGGTAGCGTCAAAGTGAAGAGACTGGGCTTTGTGCAAATAAGACGTATATATACAATTCCTTTTCGTTTTTTCCTCGTTTTATATACTGTATTCTGTTTTCTTCGTTTTCGCTTCTTTTCTCTTTTTATTAAAGCAAAAGACCGTGTTTATTCAAAATAGAACCACTGAATTTTAATTTTTAGATTAGAGATTTCCTTTTTTGTTCTGTATCTGTAGACTACTTTGTAGGAAAAGAGATAGTGTATGACTTATTCGCCGTACTTTTCCTACTTTACAGCCATTTTTTGTCACGCGTATTTCCAAAAACCCCAGTTTTCAGACGTCTGTGAAGCTGAATGTACTAAACGCGCAAGATCTCGCTCATTTAGAATGATAAACCGAAAATTCGTGTTTTCGTTCGATTACTGAAATTCTCAGCTACATAATTTAGCTACATTTTCAGAAAAAGTTCAAAAATAAGGTGAAGAGAATAAAATTACTACGTTTGTTAAGCTTTTCCAATCTTATTAAAAGCATATATTACTAATATACTTGAATATTCGTTGGGTATACAAAACAGGATATGTATATACAAGAAGATATATATCTTTTGCATATCTATATGCTGTGGTGTATACTCTTCGACTGATATGAAGGGAACAGAGCGAAGGAATCAGAGTGTATAAAACGAGAAAAAAAAGAAAAGAATTGTATATCTACGTCTTATTTGCATAAAGCCTAATATAAGTTCTTTTATTCAAACTAAAGTCAAGTGACAACAGAACAATCATGCCAGAAATGGACCATTTGAAATCTAAAAATCAGTATTGGTTACCGAATTTAAGAAGTTGGGCAACAGATGGTACCAAGCGTCCCTTGCTCTCAGACAGTGAAGAGAGAAATATCTTTTTGATGGGTCCACCCGGCGCTGGAAAAACGACCGTGGCGAAGGTGTTAGGTAAACTATTAGAAAAACATGTAATGGATATCGATGACGATTGGTTAGAAATCCATTGGAAAACAAGTGTTGCCGATAAATTAGCTGAATTAGGTGATGAAGGATTTTTAGAAGCGGAAGGCGAGGAAATGTTAAAATTTCAGAAGAAAAACTATGTTGTATCCCTAACAGGTTCAAATGCATTACACTCTCGTTCAATGGAACACCTTTCGAAAAGTGGGATCTTTATTTATCTTGATGTACCAACGAGTTTAATACTAAGTCGATGTAAATTAATGAAAATTGATCGAATTGTAGGACAGAGTACAAAAAGTCTCGCTGATATATTAGCGTATCGACAAAGTATATACGAGAACAGTTATGATATTAGAATTATTGTAAATGATGGACAAACACAGATTGATATTGCCCATGTTATATGTAGAGAATTGAACAAATTGCAAAAATATGTTAGTACACGGGGATTTCAAAATGAAAATAGCTTAGAATTTATTGATGTTGCAAAACGTGGATTATCACCAGACAGAGGACTTTTCGTTCCAATTTCATTTAGTCCTTTGTCATTGGCAGAACTGGAGCGTTTAAGTGGTCTATCGTATCAGGAGAAAGCATTACGAGTCATCGAACGTTTTCCGTTAGGAACATTACATCCATCTCAATTGCGTTCAATTATCTACAGTGCTTATGGTACATTTTTACACGATGATGTGTTACCAGTTACTCATTTAAGGAAAAATCAATATTTAATAGAAACCTATTTTGGTCCAACAGCCTCGTTTAAAGATTTAAGTTTACAACTGTTACCAAGATTATTGAATGTAGTAACTGAGAATGATGGAGTACGACATGGCTTATTAGTTGCAACATCAGGAGATACTGGCACCGCCGTATTAGACGGTTTTAGTCGTTTACCAAATAGTCCGATCGTTGTTCTGTATCCAAAAGATGGTGTTTCAATCGTACAGAAGGCTCAAATGCAAACGGCAACGGGTCCTGTATGCGTGCTCGGTGTTGATGGTGATTTTGATTTCTGTCAAACAATGGTGAAAGACATATTCAACGATTCAACATTAAATGAAGAATTTGCCAAGATTGTTCCATACTTACACTTTTCGTCTGCTAATTCAATCAATTGGGCTAGGTTTTTACCCCAAGTAGTTTTCACAGTTAGTTCTTATTTAAAACTAGTTGAACAAAATATCATCAAATTAGGTGAACCAATCGATGTTTGTATTCCAACGGGCAATTTTGGTAACATATTAGGTGCCGTGTATGCTCGTCATCTAGGTTTACCATTAAGAAGATTAATAGCTGCTTCCAATGTAAACAATGTTATTGCCGACTTTGTTAAAACTGGTGTCTACGATTTGAGAACACGTCAATTTATGCATACAATTACCCCGAGTATTGATATACTAATCAGTTCGAATTTGGAACGATTTATATATTTAATAACAGATAGTGATTATACCATTGTGAAACAATTATTTGAAGATTTGGAACGCAATCACTTCTTTAAAGTTGGTCCCGAATTGCATTCTAAAATTCAATCTGAAATCTCGGCTGGTTGGACATCAGAAGCTGAATGTTTAAAGACAATTGCTTCCGTTTACAAGGAAACTGGAAAATTTATTGATCCTCACACGGCTGTAGCAGTTCATGTTGCTAGCTCCTATGATGATAGTGAGAATGTACCCATGTTAATTTCTTCAACAGCACATTATGCAAAATTCCCAACAGCAATGTTAACCGCTTTACAAGAACAACCCACACAAACAACAGATATGAATGTAATGTTTGACATTTTACGATCATTGCCGCATCATCCCTCATCAAATATTCATCCAGAATTAGAAAAATTATCATTAAAAACGTGTGTTCATACAAAAAATGTAGCCGCAAATAAAGAAGCCATTGTCGAAGAAATTAAACAGTTTTTAAAACAGTTTTCGACACAAATAGTTGGCAAACAACAATTATGAGATAATCTTGTTATAATCGGGACCTAAGAGAAATCTCGTTCTTAAATTGTTTGAATGTCAACTGCAACTTCTAGATTTTCGACCGAATGTTTGGGATTGTCTCCATGGTTTACTTACTATACACTGATTGTTTAATAGATATAGTGGCGATCTCTGTGATTACCTTATACTCCAAAATGCAGGGCTGCTGTTACTGGTGGGTTTGTGTGCGACACTCCTCTAAAAATTGAAAAAACCTCGATTTTCCCAGCAGACATTTTTTTTCTGAAAAAAAAATCTTGTCTCAACCCCTCCAGAGTCTAACTGGTTGCGACAGCCCTGCCAAAACGGTGCAAATAAAAATCTGATCTACTTAGATTACGTACTCTTTATATATCAAACGACGGGAGTAACTGATTTCTGACGTGATATTAATACTGTCTGACATAATCTTCTCAGATTTAGTAAGGAAAGAAGAGAAAGGACTTTGTTTCTGTTTTGTCAAATCAAAAATATTAAGAAAACAGCTATATGGATTAAATTTTTTCTTTTCTTTCTCTTCCAACGACCCATATATGGAAAGATTACTATTAAATCAACCATCATCGCTTTGCTAGTCAGATCGAACGAACGACTAAAGTGTTAGATTATTAGATATTAGATTTGTCTCATCAATTATTCTGACTTGATTTTTACCCATGATGAATATAGAGGTAACTGAAGAAATTATTTCATGTTATTTATTCATGTTCAAAATATGTTCTCAGAGAAGGACGTGATATCTGCAAGTAAAAGTTTTTCCAGTTTCCTGAAAAACCAGTTTAAAAGATAAAAACAATATGAAGAGAATAGCTTTAAACTTTCATTGAACAATGGTTTAACATAAGCATAGTCTTTGCAGAATTAGTCACAATATCAAGGTTACATACCAGGAAAATAAATATAGGTTTTTATACAAGTGACTATCCGTGTGTTTATTATGTTGAAAGAATGCTCCACTTTTTATTGAAAAAAAGTAATCAATTATTTAAAGAAGCATCATTCTAGAAGAAGTTATCAGTGTCTTCGAATGTTAAGAAAAAAAACAATTTTGATTTGGACATAGATAAATAAACAGTAGAAGATAAAATTGATTAGACTACATATTGAACAATAATTTCTTTTCAGTATTAATGTTCAACATAGCTACGTATCAATGAGTATATTTTAAAAATAGTGATGAGATTGTCGTTAAACTGCATATATATATATATATATATATTTATATGTGTCTGTGTCCAACTAAAATAAATGACAACCGAAAATAAATCATTTTATAGAACTTAATGACATTCATAGCTTAAATTTATCCTGCAGTCTAGTACATAATTTCGTTAAAACGGCTTTGTGAAAGATAAAATAATGACCTGTTTTCCTATCATTTCATTAGACTAGAGATCATAATCATCTTTTTAAATAAAAATGTATATTCTTTTCCATGTGTTTGTTTTGTCGAAGATTGAAAATATAAGTATTAAACTATGTATTCTACTCGTCGTATACCGTAAATCTATCACTTTGCTCTTTTGTTTAGAATCCAAGACACCGGTACAAGAATTAATGGTCAGATTTTGAATAAAAATATCATCAAAAGTATCGCTATATTTATTATTTATTGTTTAAATTTCAAATTATGTATCAAAATCAATACAACATATTCTTCGACATGAAGAACACAATTCTTTTATCGAACATTTTATTGTATTCTCTGAATTTTTAAACAAAATGGAATGAATATTAGGAGATCTAATTATTAGAATGTGCAAGTTTAAGAATACATTATTACGACAGCAAAATAATGTAAAAAAACATAGTTTTGACTATAACAAACAGTCCATGCTACAAGTTCGACAAATGGTATATTCAATTTTTTTGTAACTTAACTTATGTATTTTTTGTTTTTTCATTTTGCTGGACAAACTTAAAAATAAAGCAAAATTGATGATGAAGATGATATTTTATTTATATCATATAAGGCCGAGATGTCATACAAAATAAAACTGTATGTAAAAGATCGAAGTCAGCTGATTTGTACATGCTTTTAGTTAAAATATCGACATTTGACCTATTGAACGTGCTAAGAATATATTTTTATCATTGAAATATATACTGATAAATTTGTTTTTGACATTCGTATTAATAATAGTTTTGCAATATCTAACACAAATTACCATATTTATTTTTACATTTTTGTTTTATATATTCAATCATACACTCTAATAACAATAATAAAGTAGAAAATATTTTTGAAAATCTTTAAAAATAACTCTGTCTCCTCTCAAATAACTCTGTGATCCTAAAAAAGAATCAAAATATTTCATTGTAGTCATAATCTAAGAAACATGAATCATAAACTTGTAGAACACGAAACGTTGCCCATATTTTTAGAATGAAGTTGTATCTAATTTAAGATAATAAGTTATTTCTTTTTAAAATACTTGTTATATACCGTCAATAGACTTTATACAGAAGAAGAAATTATAATCATTTTCTTTTCAATTAATGTTTGATGTAATTCACGCCTCAACTCTAATTGATTTAACCACTTTCTATTC